AACCTTAAGACAAGCATTTCAGTTCTGAGATTTCTTTAAATAAATAAAAGGATATTATGGGGAGAAATGACTCCTTTTTTCGTATTTGCTTTCAGCCTTTTTTATTCATTTACTGCCAATAAAAAATATGATTTCTATAAATGGTTTGTTTAACAAGGAAAGTGTTTTTAAGGGAATGGGGGAAAGGATGGGGGATTTCATTAGTTTTTTTTTTCCAACAATGGTAAACAACAATAAGTGTCAGTCATTCAATTTGTTATAAATTAAATTAATTTATGTTCTAGAACATTTCCAAAAAAGAGAAAAACGAAATAGATTTTTTTTGCCCCGACTGTGGCCTAAGAAAATAATCCCGATTATAATTGGCCCTTCAAAAAATGTTTTTAAAAAATCGGCATTTATAGTTGGACCTTAAAAAAAATGTTGTTAAAAATCATAAAAAATACAATTTTAAAAATATTTTTACAAGGGCCACTTATGGTGGAGGTGGCTTTTTTTAAAAAAAAATATTTCCTTCAGGCCTTCTTATAGAAGACCTCCAGGTCTTCTATGAGAAGACCTCTAAGTCTTCTATCAGAAGACCTCTAGGTCTTCTATCAGAAGACCTCTAGGTCTTCTATAAGAAGACCTGAAGGACTTCTATGAGAAGACCTGTAGGTATTCTCTCAGAAGACTTGTAGGTATTCTATCAGAAGACCTCTAGGTCTTCTACGAGAAGACCTCCAGGTCTTCTATGAGAGGACCTCTAGGTCTATGAGAAGACATCTACATCTTCTTTGAGAAGACCTCTACATCTTCTTTGAGAAGACCTCTAGGTCTTCTATGAGAAGACCTCTAAGTTTTCTATGAGAAGACCTCTTGGTCTTCTATGAAAAGACCTCTAGGTCTTCTATGAGAAGGCCTCCAGGTCTTCTATGAGAAGGCCTCCAGGTCTTCTATAAGAAGGCCTCCAGGTCTTCTATGAGAAGGCCTTCAGGTCTTCTATGAGAAGGCCTCCAGGTCTTCTATGAGAAGGCCTCCAGGTCTTCTATGAGAAGGCCTCCAGGTCTTCTATGAGAAGGCCTCCAGGTCTTCTATGAGAAGGCCTCCAGGTCTTCTATGAGAAGGCCTCCAGGTCTTCTATGAGAAGGCCTCCAGGTCTTCTATGAGAAGGTCTCCAGGTCTTCTATGAGAAGGCCTCCAGGTCTTCTATGAGAAGGCCTCCAGGTCTTCTATGAGAAGGCCTCCAGGTCTTCTATGAGAAGGCCTCCAGGTCTTCTATGAGAAAGTCTCCAGGTCTTCTATGAAAAGGCCTCCAGGTCTTCTATGAGAAGGTCTCCAGGTCTTCTATGAGAAGGCCTCCAGGTCTTCTGTGAGATGGCCTCCAGGTCTTCTATGAGAAGGCCTCCAGGTCTTCTATGAGAAGGCCTCCAGGTCTTCTATGAGAAGGCCTCTAGGTCTTCTATGAGAAGACCTCTAGGTCTTCTGTGAGAAGACCTCTAGGTCTTCTGTGAGAAGACCTCTATGAGAAAACCTCTAGGCCTTTTATGAGAAAACCTCTAGGTCTTCTATGAGGACCTCTAGGTCTTGTATGAGAAGACCTCTAGGTTTGCTATGAACACCCCCTTCCCTGCAATCGTCAATTCAATAATTACTGCCAATTTCCCCTGGCTTGAGAGAGATACCTTTAATGGTATAATGATCCCTCCCCGCAAAGTATTTATATGAAATTCAATATCCCCGCAGAATAAATGAATGGCAGGAGCTATATCCTAAGCCTGCTCCTTTTTCCAACCACCAAACAATGCTGGCATGTGAAGAACATTTTTGCAAATTCCATTAAACGTATGTTGCAAATTTCGAAATGCAAACACAAAAAAAACGAAAATAAAATTTGCGTTAAACCGCGTAGGCGTTTCATATCCTTCGAAAATCCTCCTTAAATCAGCAAACATGTAAAAACACATCCCCCACCCCACTCACTTCCATCACTGATACACTTGATTGTTCCACATTTCGTTGGCAGTTTTTTTTTTGGCTCTACCAAAAAAGGAACAACAAATTTATTGGGTTTTAAGTCCCCTGAGGCTGGTATTTCGGCTGCGGCATTGACATCATCATGGAACGGAATTTCCATGACAGGCAGGGAGATGTGTGTGTGTAAACGCCCTTACACATGTATGCAAATATGTGTTGGTGGTTTTGTTTCGCCTGCCTTTTTTTGCATATCGATGTATGGGAAAATTTGTGAAAAAATAAAACATTAATTTGTTCTTTTATTTTTGTTAAGCGTGTGTGTGTGCCAATTCCACACACACACTCTCCCCAGCAAGTGTAGTTTCTAAAGCGCGCGCACACACACACACACCCGCTTGTTTGTCTGTTTATTTGTTATCCCCGTGCATATGTTTTGGCATAAAATGTCTCAAAAAGACAATCAAAGATCAACTAAAAAATAAAGAAATTTGCCATTATTTTGTTATTGTCATTGCCAAAGTTTGTCTAGATAAGGCGTGAGGGAGTGAGTCAGTGAGTGTGTGCATGTGTATGTTTTGGTGGAAAAATTATTGACAAAACGTGCATATGAGCATAGATAAGTGGATAAAAAGTGAGGCATAATTTGTTAAGATATTTGATAACTGATACATGGCAAAAAGTTGAACTAATTCCCTTTGGAAGATTGCATACTTTTAGGAGAAATGGGAAATAAGAAATATTAGGAAAAAAATATAGAAAAAAACTCCTTAGACCCCTGAGGAGATTTTTTCGAATGGAAAAAAATTTCCTCAGACCCCTCAGGATATTTTTTCGTATAGAAAAATTACGCTCAGACCCCTGAGGAGATTTTTTCGTATAGAAAAAATTACGCTCAGACCCCTGAGGAGATTTTTTCGTATTGAAAAAATTTCGCTCAGACCCCTGAGGAGATTTTTTCGTATAGAAAAAATTTCCTCAGACCCCTGAGGAGATTTTTTCGTATAGAAAATATCTCCTCAGGCCCCTGAGGAGATTTTTTCGTATAGAAAATATCTCCTCAGGTCCCTGAGGAGAGTTTTTCGTATAGAAAAAATTCCCTCAGGTCCCTGAGGAGAGTTTTTCGTATAGAAATAATTTCCTCAGATCCCTGAGGATATTTTTTCGAATAGAAATAATTTCCTCAGATCCCTGAGGATATTTTTTCGAATAGAAATAATTTCCTCAGATCCCTGAGGATATTTTTTCGAATAGAAATAATTTCCTCAGATCCCTGAGGATATTTTTTCGAATAGAAATAATTTCCTCAGATCCCTAAGGAGATTTTTTGTATAGAAAAAAATTCGCTCAGACCCCTGAGGAGATTTTTTCGTATAGAAAAAATTTCGCTCAGACCCTGAGGATATTTTTTCGTATAGAAAAAATTTCGCTCAGACCCCTGAGGACACTTTTTTCGTATAGAAAAAATTTCGCTCAGACCCCTGAGGACACTTTTTTCGTATAGAAAAAATTTCGCTCAGACCCCTGAGGAGATTTTTTCGTATAGAAAAATTTCCTCAGACCCCGGAGGAGATTTTTTCGTATAGAAAAAATTTCCTCAGACCCCTGAGGAGATTTTTTCGTATAGAAAAAATTTCCTCAGACCCCTGAGGAGATTTTTTCGTATAGAAAAAATTTCCTCAGACCCCTGAGGAGATTTTTTCGTATAGAAAAAATTTCCTCAGACCCCTGAGGAGATTTTTTCGTATAGAAAAAATTTCCTCAGACCCTGAGGACAGTTTTTTCTATAGAAAAAAATTCCTCAGGTCCCTGAGGACAGTTTTTTCTATAGAAAAAAATTCCTCAGGTCCCTGAGGACAGTTTTTTCTATAGAAAAAAATTCCTCAGGTCCCTGAGGACAGTTTTTTCTATAGAAAAAAATTCCTCAGGTCCCTGAGGACAGTTTTTTCTATAGAAAAAAATTCCTCAGGTCCCTGAGGACAGTTTTTTCTATAGAAAAAAATTCCTCAGGTCCCTGAGGACAGTTTTTTCTATAGAAAAAAATTCCTCAGGTCCCTGAGGACAGTTTTTTTCTATAGAAAAAAATTCCTCAGGTCCCTGGGGACAGTTTTTTCTATAGAAAAAAAAAAATCCTCAGGAAAAAAATTCTTCAGGTCCCTAAGGAGACTTTTTTTATGGTCATATTATTTCTACATAATACCCCACTGATGGAGAAGTGTTCTTCTATAGAAGTGAACTTAAAATTCCAATTTTTTCTCCTTCTTTTTTAACATCAAACAGAAAAAAAATGTAAAACAAAATTGAACGTAACATGAAAGCCAACAAAACAATAATTTTTGATTAAAGATGAATTTTTAATTTAATGTTCAGGGCAAATACGGCGGCGGCACGCGTTTGATGCAAATGGGAGGACGAATGGATGGAACGGACAGACAGCATATAGATAGACACTTAAAATGATAGTCCTTGGCTATGGCCGACAACCGCGAATTATCCCAACAACAGCAGAAGAAGCAGCTGATATGCAGATAGAGAGAAGACCACTTACACTGTCACAGTCACATACACACTCACACAGCTACCCATAACGGTGGGCTTCTCCTCTAAACATTTATGGCCATTACTGAGCAGCGTATATTTTAATCTCAACGGCAAACGGAAACGGAAATCAAACGACCAGAACAAGTATCAAACAAAATTTTTAATGTCTTCGTTTGCATTGAAGGACAACGACAAACGACCAGTCGTCGAAGATAATTTTCCAAAGAAAATGGCTCGGAAAAAACGTAAGAAAATACATAAAAATAAAAATGGTAATGGAAATACTCAAGCGAAAGGAAAAAATCTATGGAAAAAATCTGTAAAAGTTTTCTGTCGGGGGAAAAAAATTCCGATTTGCCTGGGGAATGATTTCCACTTTGGAATATCTGCTGGCAGGGCGGCTGGGTGGCAAAGAGGCTGGCTGGCTGGCTGGCTGGCAGGGGGTGTCATTTAGCTGGCCAATGCTTAGGGTAATACCTTGTAAGGATAAACGTGTTAGCGGTAAAATGGGTGGTGTTGATGGCGAGGATGGTGGTGGCTGGATGGCACTGGGGCAGAAAAGCATACCCACACCTCTCGAGGTGAGGCCAACCAAACCCAGAGTAAACATCAACAAATGTTTAGCATGTTTCGGGATGTTCGTGGGATGCTGTTACTTTTGATTTGTACTTTTTTTAAGTTTTTTTTTTTGAAAACTTTTTTTGTTCATTAGAATTTTTTGGTTGTAAATTTTCACATTTTCCTTTAGATATTCAATGTTTTTTCCTCAAAAAAACCGCCGCTGTCTCCCCTCTTCGGTACACACGACAAATAATGGAAATGGGAAAACCATGAAAGGAAAACAACAACAGCAAACAAAAAAAAATTGAAATTGTGTTTAATGATTTATGAATAATCGCCATTTTCGCCGATGAGTGATGGTAATAGAACCGTTAAAAAGAGCAAAAAAAAACTGTCGATAAAGAGAGACAAAAAGGGAAAGGGACCGAGGCACGCTGTCCTGTCTCTGGGCCATTACCCACCAATTTTTTGCCTAATTTTTTTGATGTGTTTTCTTGTTAATTTTCCAAGGTTTTTAAGTGTTTTTCTTTTTTTTTTTTTTTGGCTTCGCTTTTTGGCTGCTACGCTTCATTTCTAGGCCAGCGTTAAGTGATTTTAGGCATAAAGACTGGGAAGAGATGTAGCAAAAAAAAAGAAGTAATTTGAGAACATTGTCATGGGCGTTGTTGCTACAAGCATTTGTCTGAGGCGTGTGTCCATTTGACAGCATTTTTGACAGCTTCCATTTAAGGAGTTTTGATTTGATGTGGTGTCCTTTAGGAAATTTCCATTTTTATGTTCCAATTTTTTTTTTTTTCGTTTGCTGCCTTCAAATTGATAACAACAAAAACTAATTGTTCGGAAAAAATGGACAAACGATAATGTCCTGCAATAAAATTAGAAAATTAATGAGAAAATCGCCATAAATATTTACAATTTTTTTTTTTTATTTTTTAAAAATAATGTGGGTCAATGGCTGCGAATGAAGATGAAAAATCCCAATTTTTGTCTATATGTAAAATACTCCCCGGGATCTGGGGAATTTTTTTCTATATGAAAAAAATTTCCTCGGGGACCTGAGGAAATTTTTTCTATACGAAAAAACTGTCCTCAGGGACCTGAGGAAATTTTTTCTATACGAAAAAACTGTCCTCAGGGACCTGAGGAAATTTTTTCTATACGAAAAAACTGTCCTCAGGGACCTGAGGAAATTTTTTCTATACGAAAAAACTGTCCTCAGGGACCTGAGGAAATTTTTTCTATACGAAAAAACTGTCCTCAGGGACCTGAGGAAATTTTTTCTATACGAAAAAACTGTCCTCAGGGACCTGAGGAAATTTTTTCTATACGAAAAAACTGTCCTCAGGGACCTGAGGAAATTTTTTCTATACGAAAAAACTGTCCTCAGGGACCTGAAGAAATTTTTTCTATACGAAAAAACTTTCCTCAGGGACCTGAGGAAATTTTTTCTATACGAAAAAACTGTCCTCAGGGACCTGAGGAAATTTTTTCTATACGAAAAAACTGTCCTCAGGGACCTGAGGAAATTTTTTCTATACGAAAAAACTGTCCTCAGGGACCTGAGGAAATTTTTTCTATACGAAAAAACTGTCCTCAGGGACCTGAGGAAATTTTTTCTATACGAAAAAACTGTCCTCAGGGACCTGAGGAAATTTTTTTCTATACGAAAAACTGGCCTCAGGGACCTGAGGAAATTTTTTCTATACGAAAAAACTGTCCTCAGGGACCTGAAGAAATTTTTTCTATACGAAAAAACTGTCCTCAGGGCCTGAGGAAATTTTTTCTGTCCTCAGGGACCTGAGGAAATTTTTTCTATACGAAAAAACTGTCCTCAGGGACCTGAGGAAATTTTTTCTATACGAAAAAACTGTCCTCAGGGACCTGAGGAAATTTTTTCTATACGAAAAAGTCTCCTCAGGGACCTGAGGAAATTTTTTCTATACGAAAAAAGTGTCCTCAGGGACCTGAGGAATTTTTTTCTATACGAAAAAATCTCCTCAGGGGTCTGAGGAAATTTTTTCTATACGAAAAAACTGTCCTCAGTGACCTGAGGAAATTTTTTCTATACGAAAAAAACTGTCCTCAGTGACCTGAGGAAATTTTTTCTATACGAAAAAACTGTCCTCAGTGACCTGAGGAAATTTTTTCTATACGAAAAAACTGTCCTCAGTGACCTGAGGAAATTTTTTCTATACGAAAAAACTGTCCTCAGTGACCTGAGGAAATTTTTTCTATACGAAAAAACTGTCCTCAGGGACCTGAGGAAATTTTTCTATACGAAAAAACTGTCCTCAGTGACCTGAGGAAATTTTTTCTATACGAAAAAACTGTCCTCAGGGACCTGAGGAAATTTTTTCTATACGAAAAAACTGTCCTCAGGAACCTGAGGAAATTTTTCTATACGAAAAAACTGTCCTCAGGGACCTGAGGAATTTTTTCTATACGAAAAACTGTCCTCAGGGACCTGAGGAAATTTTTTCTATACGAAAAAACTGTCCTCAGGGTCCTGAGGAAATTTTTTCTATACGAAAAAACTGTCCTCAGGGACCTGAAGAAATTTTTCTATACGAAAAAACTGTCCTCAGGGACCTGAGGAAATTTTTTCTATACGAAAAAAGTGTCCTCAGGGACCTGAGGAAATTTTTCTATACGAAAAAAGTGTCCTCAGGGACCTGAGGAAATTTTTTCTATACGAAAAAAGTGTCCTCAGGGACCTGAGGAAATTTTTTCTATACGAAAAAAGTGTCCTCAGGGACCTGAGGAAATTTTTTCTATACGAAAAAAGTGTCCTCAGGGACCTGAGGAAATTTTTTCTATACGAAAAAAGTGTCCTCAGGGACCTGAGGAAATTTTTTCTATACGAAAAAAGTGTCCTCAGGGACCTGAGGAAATTTTTTCTATACGAAAAAAGTGTCCTCAGGGACCTGAGGAAATTTTTTCTATACGAAAAAAGTGTCCTCAGGGACCTGAGGAAATTTTTTCTATACGAAAAAAGTGTCCTCAGGGACCTGAGGAAATTTTTTCTATACGAAAAAAGTGTCCTCAGGGACCTGAGGAAATTTTTTCTATACGAAAAAAGTGTCCTCAGGGACCTGAGGAAATTTTTTATACGAAATATCTCCTTAGGAACCTGAGGAAATTTTTTTGTTGTAGAAAAATTTTACTTAGGGACTTGAGGTATTTTTTGGTATAGAAACCTGAGGATTTTTTTTATATAAAAAACTGACCTCAGGGACCTGAGGAATTTTTTTTCTATAAAAAAGTGTCCTGAGTATTTTTTTTTTTCGTAGAAAAAATTACCCACATTTGGTAGAGAATTTATTTATAGCACAGAAAATCTCCGTAGTTTTTGTATATGAATTACAAGATACTTTATTTAGTTTTTAAAAATTCCAAATTCCAAGTAATTCAAATCTTCAATTCCAAAAAGTTTGATTTGTAATTTTTCAAATTTCAACTTCTCATTGAAATTGAGAAGGCTTGTCACAACAACAACAACAGCAACTCCAACAACTGACATCACAAGTATCTACGCATTTTGTTATCTGTCAATGGCAACCGAACTCCTTGAACTAATCAACTGAACATCACACCCTTCAGTGTTCACAGCGGAAGATAGAAAGAGAGGGAGGGAGGGGGAAAATTAACCCTAGCATCCCTCTACCCCGGGCAGCATTTCACGTGCAATGATAATCAAACGGAGGAAGATGAAGAAAAAGCTGATACCTTGGCAGTGTTTAACAGCCCTGACTAAAGGGTGAGCAGGGCGACGACTATCTCCCAGTCTCGTGCAACATTTTGTTAACAACAAAGCATTAATTCAGTTTTTTTTTTTCATTTCGATTTTTAATTTTTTAATTCGTTATCCTTTGAGGAGGCAGGCAGTGTCGATGTCGATGGTGATGAGAACGAAAAAGGGGTTAAAGTTCATAATGAGCATCAGATAAATGAGATAGTCTATGTGTGTGTGCGTCTGTGGATAGAGAAGGGGTTTGTGATGTGCCATATCACACGCGTGTTGACATTTGACAAAACAGCAACTGGAAAACAAAACAAAGAAAAAAAATAAAACAAAAACTTTTCAAGGGAGTCTGGGAATTACTTCAAGAAACCAGTTTTTAATAAGCTTTGGCAAATATTGAATTGCAGTTGCTGTTCATATTTCCCGGGGTTTTTTTAATGCCTTCCCTTGCCCCCTTCCCAGCTTCCTCGGTGACAATTTAAGCACATATGCAAATATAGCTGAAAGTTTATGACTTGAATTACTCGAAAGGGTTAAATATTGACATGTTTGCCGTTTGGGGATGACAACACCAATACTCTCACGACTCGACATAGATCGACACAAATATTAGATGCGCTTAAGGTATTAGAGATGAGTCATAAAATGTGAAGATTGAATGACAAAAATAAAAAACACAATCAGTGGAAAATTAAAAATACCAACGTGTCTTGGCTTATTATCCTTTAACTCGTTAAAGAGACATGATTTTGGGACATGTAATCTTTTTTTTTTGGAGATTTCTAAGGTTCTTACGAGGATATAGCATAAAAACACGTTTAAGACTCTGAGCTCTTTATTAGATACTCAGCCATATGGCCAGAGAGGAGATATATAATATTTGATACGGCCAAAATTTGCCTCATCGAAATAACGATTTTGGACCCTAGGTCTGTTTTGGCAAAATTCGTTTCAGAACATTTTGAGTCGCTTTAGTGATGTCCGTCCATATGTCTGGCTGGGTGGTGTGCACGATAACTCTCGAAGGAAGTATCCGATTTGGTCCAAACTTGGTACAACGTAATATTACTATCAAACTTAGATCGAGTTCGGAAAAGGGCAATATCGGTCCACTCCTTCTGGCACCCCCACAAAAGGTAGAAATTTTGAATATCCATGAAGCTCATCAAACCATAAATTAACTTTCGATTCATTTCAGACTTGACACATGTCAATTTGCCCATCTACACAAGATCTGTTATAAAGATGATACAGATCGGACCATTTCTTCCGGTACGTCCCCTGCAATGGTTCAACAAT